ACCCGATTCCCGCCTTTTTAACCGATTTTTCTCATAAAAAGAAGCAAGTGTATACGTTCCTCAGCTTATTATGACCACTAATCACTCACCTTCGTGGTACTGATATTCGTTTACATATATTTGCTAGCGTATTGCTGTAAATCGTAATCTTGCACGAGCTGAATTTGCACAATTTACCGCTAAAATGGCGCTATTGTGTGAGGTGTTAAGACAAATTTTGAAGCTATAGTGGCGCCAATATTTAGCAACGGACCGATAGGGGTTTAATGTACTTGATTGCCTGCGCGTGCGTAATGTGATACTTACTGCAAACTACTACAGAGAATATTGTTATTATTATATTAATACTTATGTAAGATAGTATGTCAATTTCTTGTGTTGCGATCACAATAACTGAGCGCATCTCGCGGTTCCTCACGAGATCAAAATTCGAAATTTAGATTGTCTCTCAACCTTATCGAGACACGAATGATTTGGAAGCAGTCCGTTGCTAAATATTGGCGCCACTATAGCTTCAAAATTTGTCTTAAAGGGACAGTAGCCTCTAGGGTTTTACTGCATACAACTGTACTTACTGTATAACAAATCGTCTATACCAACACGTATTTGTTACCAGATACCTAATTTCATTGTTATAATTATTTACACATCAACGCTACGAAATTTGAACGGCGCCATGACACCCGCGACCGTGCTGCCACCCCGAAAAAGTTGCGTATTTGACAATTTATTTTGCAGGTTACAGACTGAGGGCTAATCACAAAAGTGCAATTATATTTATACCTAAATGGTATTTAACCGAACGATATTCATTTTAGGGCAAATTTATCCATATTATACCTGAAACTATATGTCGTTTATAATATATTACAATCCTTTTGCTTTTAAATTAATAAATAAGTAACACCCTCGGTCTGTAGCCCTTGGCTGGAAAGTGGTTTTGCGCAACTTATCAGATCGTGCGCTTTGAGTGGCGCCACCGTCGTTGTAATCAAACTGTAGTCATTAGTTTTAAAACATTTTTTAATAATATTTCTAATGGTGATTTAACCATGAAACTTTTTATGTAGCGCAATTATAACCTAACTTAGCTGAAAATAACCCTAGAACCTAGAGTAGACTCTCCCTTTAACACCTCACACAATAGCGCCATTTTAGCGGTAAATTGTGCGAATTCAGCTCGTGCAAGATTACGATTTACAGCAATACGCTAGCAAATATATGTAAACGAATATCAGTACCACGAAGGTGAGTGATTAGTGGTAATAATAAGCTGAGGAACGTATACACTTGCTTCTTTATTGGTGGCAAATTTTGATGAGAAAAATTGGTTAAAAATGCGGGAATCGGGTGTTTCACTCTTGTGTTATTATCTACTCTTGCGGACATGTGAAGTCTTGAATGATATAGAGAAATAATAAAACTACGTGTGGATGTTAATAAATTCCAGCTTGTGTCATTTCCAATTCTGGATGGTTGTTATTTCCCTTGGAATGAATATAGTTATTATCAGGACTGCTTACTAATTAGACAGATGATATATTTCCTGTGTGATTGTCGTATATTTACCTCCGCGCAACGGAGTTG